AGCGCATAACCTGGAGTAATTGCAGAAACCAGGAAAGTAAAAGAGACCTTTGCATCTGTAGGGGTGAATGAGCATCAGAGAGGGAGCATTCAGAGCACAAGTGATCTGAATGGAGAAATGGGGAAAACGGAGAGGGACAAAGAGGGCAGAGAGAGAAATACAGAAAAAAGAGGGACTAGGATAACAAAGGGAATGTCTGAAAAAGCCATAAAGAATTATACTTTTAAGTATCTACCTAAAATACCTGTATTACATATAAATCTGTGTATACATATATAGTTCAATGAGAATTTTCCATCTGTGATGAGAGTGTTCTCCACAAGAGCCCTAGACTATCAAACAAACACTGGGCATTAAAGCCCTCTTTCAAGCGGTCGGTCAGGGTTTTCCAAGAGAGTCTCAAAACATTATAAGTTACTGCTGTTGCCCTTCATTTCCCACAACCCCCAGAAGTGGAAGGTAAGTCCTTATTGCTGAAGACACCATGACCTTTGGACATAGAACCCAGAGGACCTCGAAATGGACCTGACCTGAAAGCCTCCTCTCTGAAAACTAGCTGTCACAGTTCCAGAAGTTACCATACAAGCTTCTAATGAGGGAAGCAACCAATCGTCCTGCCTAGCTATGATGCCTAGGAACCACAACAATTAACCAGCCTGGCAAAGGGTACCTACCACACAGTGGCACACACACCTTGGTTGTAATGAACAGCTCTCTGATTGGACTTAAGGCCCACTCAACAAGAGGGAGATCATACTTGGTACCAGAAACCTAGCCAAGTCTACAGGGCTAGGGAAGTCATACATCTTGGAGGAAAACTTACAACCATAACTTTACAACACCAACATAATCACTAACTATATTCTAAATAGTTATCCTTTTATTTGGGGGCGGGGGTTCGAGACAGGGTTTCTCTGTGTAGCTTTGAAGCCTATCCTGGCACTGGCTCTGGAGACCAGGTTGGCCTCGAACTCACAGAGATCCGCCTGCCTCTGCCTCCCAAGTGCTGGGATTAAAGACGTGTGCCACCAACGCCTGGCTAAATATTTATCCTTATATCCACCTATTATTCATATTTAAAATTTATCTCTTTATTGTATGACAAAGTTAATCCTCAAGGGTTCAGAGAAAGATTTATATTTTATAATGTTTATAAGAAATACTTTGCTTCAAGGTCAGTAGTTTACTGAATTTTATCAAAGAAGTGTGTGTGTCTAGGCCCCCTGAACATGTCAGCTAGGAGCACTGGACAACCTATAGGGCCTCTCTGGCAGTGGAATCAGGATGCATCTCTAGTGCTCGAATGGACTTCAGGAGCTCATTTCCCATGGAAAGATACTCTCTTAGCCTAGATACACAGCGGAGGGCCTAGGCCCTGCCTCAAATGCAGATTTTTTTTTCATGATCCCTCATGGAAGGCCTCACCCTCCCTGGGGCGTGGATGGGGATGGGATTGGGGGATCGGTGGGGGGCATGGGAGGATGGGAGGGAGAGGGAACTGGGATTGATATGTAAAATAAGGTTGTTTCTAATTTAAGTAAAATTTATATTAAAATTTATATTAATATAATTATATTAAAATTATATATATAATATCTTGATATACTGTGCCTTACCAGAGATACCACCCTTGATTTGATGCAATATGGCATTCAGAAAAGATCCCTGACATAAAGGCTAGAAAGGTTTAATAGCAAAGAGACTGGTACTATTGCAGGGTCCTGACCTGGGCTCGAGTCCTGTTTCTGCTCTGTCCTCAGCAGGACACTTTGGACAGTGATCATTTCCAAACCTTGGTTCCCAGAATATTTCTGCTGCTGGAATGATGGCGCACTGAGGATGGGACTCTAAAACTCACGGCAGAGTCTTCAGTCTGTAAATAGTTATTATTTTAGACACTCAGAAAAAGTTACAGAAGTTGAAGAGAATTTCTGCAAATTGCCTTTCTACTTGTGAGAGCAGCTATTTATTTACTGTTCTTCACTTATAAGAAAGAACTCAACTGATTTACTTTTGAAATTTATTTTTCTCAGATGTATTTAGTGTTCGTGTCTATGCATATGTGAGGGAGACCTGGTACCACAGTGCACTTATGGAGGTCTGAGAATGACTTGCCAGAGGAATCAGTTCTCCTACTACTACGTGGGTTCTAGGGATCCAACTCAAGGTATCTTAGTGGCAAGTGCTTTTATCCACTGTACCATTTTATTGGCCCTGGGAATGGTTGTTTTTGGGGGGTTTTGTTTTGTTTTCTTTAAAAATAGGGTCTCTTGTAGCCCAGCCCGGCCTTAAACTTCCTATGTAGTAGAAACTGTCCTTGAACTCCTGATCTATTTCCCAAGTACTGGGATTACAGGAGTTTACCAGGAGACCTGGCTGATTGCTTCCATGAAAAGTTTTCATTGGATTGACAGTTTGAGAATTCACTGGCTTCTACCTTTTAAATTGACACGTGCCCCATTATTTGCAAACCGTACTAAATGCTGTGGAAAGGGGAGTAACTTTGCCTTTAACTGTTAATCAGTACAAGAAATTGATCAGGACAAGACCCTATTTATAAATGTGATTTTTAAAAATTTATTTTTATTTTATGTGCATATATGTCAGTGTGAGGACGCCCTGGAATGGGAGTTACAGACAAATGTGCACTTAACTGCTGAGCCATCTCTTCAGTCCTACCTGTGATTCTTTCATATGGTGATTATCACACACGCCATAGTTACTTTTATAATGAACTTTTTTTTTTTTTCGATACAGGGTTTCTCTGTGTAGCTTTGGAGCCTATCCTGGTACTTGCTCTGGAGACCAGGCTGGCCTCGAACTCACAGAGATCCACCTGCCTCCTGAGTGCTGGGATTAAAGGCGTGCACCACCAACGCCCGGCTATAATGAACTATTAAACCAGGGATTTTTTTTTTCTAAGATATGGTCTCCAGGCTGGAGAGATGGCTCAAGAGTTAAGAGCGCTGGCTGCTCTTCCAGAAGACCTGGGTTCAATTCTCAGCACCCAGGTGATAGCTCACAACTATCTGTAACTCCAGTTCCAGGGGATCTGACACCCTCACACAGACGTACATGTAGGCAAAACACTAATGCATATAAAAATATATATATTTGTTTTTTGAGACAGGGTTTTTTTGTGTGTGTGTAGCCTTGACTGTCCTGTAGACCAGGCTGGCCTCCCAAGTGCTGGGATTAAAGGGGTATGCCACCACCGCCTGGCTAATAAAGAATTAAAAAAAAAAAAAAAAAGCTGGGCGTTGGTGGTGCACGCCTTTAATCCCAGCACTTGGGAGGCAGAGGCAGGGGGATCTCTGTGAGTTCGAGGCCAGCCTGGTCTCCAGAGCGAGTGCCAGGATAGGCTCCAAAGCTACACAGACAAACCCTGTCTCAATAAACCAAAAAAAAAAAAAAAAAAAAAAAAAAAAAAAAAAGATAGGGCCTCATGTAGCTGAGGATGGCCTTAAACTCATCATCATCTCTCCTCCACCTCCAGAGTGCTGGGATTACACAGGGGCATCACCACACATTCATTTGTGCTCTTACACTACTTTTACACTTCAATTAAGTGAAACTGAAATTCCTTTTCAGGGTCAACTTCCTAGACTCAAAGAAGTGGAATTTTCACTGTTCCATACTGTTAGTCTCCCATCGCCTACTCAGTAAGGATATTCCATTTCTGTAACCTTGATCATGGTATCTCCCTTACTACTTGACACCAAGTGCCTCCCCCACCCCCATCGATACTATTCTATTTGTTACATTAATGCTTCTAAACTATAGCCTGGATTATTCATAGTTCTGCCGTTCATACCACAAGTGTATGCTGAGTGCTCACTTTATATGAAGCACAATGCTATATACTGTAAGATGTACAAATTAAAGAAGGTGTGTATAAATAACCGTAGCCCAAAGTCAGAAAGTGGCAGTAACACATAAAGTTCAGAAAGTATTATGGAACCCAGAAGAGGTAAAACGTATTTCCAGATGGTGATGTCACACTGTAACGTCTTAGAGAGTGGATATAACTTGTCAACACCTGGAGGTGGGGTGTGTGTGTGTGTGTGTTGTAAGGGAATGCTAAGTATTCCAAGCACAAGGGAACACTGTCAATCTAGAGAAATGTGGTTTTGTTTGTTTGTTTGTTTGTTTGTTTTGGTTTTTCGAGACAGGGTTTCTCTGTGGCTTTGAAGGCTGTCCTGGAACTAGCTCTTGTAGACCAGGCTGGTCTCGAACTCACAGAGATCCGCCTGCCTCTGCCTCCCGAGTGCTGGGATTAAAGGCGTGCACCACCAACGCCCGGCTCAATCTAGAGAAATGTAATAAATAATTCATGAAGTACTGCACATGGCCTGGTTTACCATGGGCGAGAGAATGAAAGAGAAACGTCATAAAATAGAATTTTTAAACTAAATTAGTATTTTTGGCCTTGGCAGCAAGGGGCTATTGAATATCTTGCAACCCAGCTGTGCTTGAATACGAATACACCTATAGCAGCTATGCGGAAGAGATGCTGGTGGGGCAGGGATGTAGGAAGAAGGGCATCAACACGAAAAAATGGGGCGTTTTCACTGTCCAGGGGTGATGAGAACGTTGATGGGGTGGAGGCAATGGGCATGGGAGTGGGTGGATGCTGGAGTTACTGCAGGGACGAGCAACAGCACACGGCCTCTGACAGAGGCGTGGAAAGAAAAGGGTGTACAATTTAGACACCGGGTGGGCTGTCCCGGAAGCGGCCTGAGAAAAAGGGCAAGTTACACCCGAGACAGTGAACATTCCCGCACTGGCCAACTCTCCACAAGAAACCGCCCAGCAGCCGCAGGGAGGGAAGGGACTCCAGACAGTGGAGAAGTGGGTGCGTTTCAGCCGGAGGGAGCTCCCAGCAAGCCGCACGCAGGAGCCTTCCGGCTGCTCAGGGCCGGGCTGGCATCGCTCGAGCAGGGCGGGGCGCTACAGTCTGCTCCGCCCAGGGCGGCTCCGCCCGGGATCTCCGGCAGCCTTCCCTCCCAGTCCGGGGGGTTATAATAGACGGCGACCTTCGGTAAGTCCGGCAGGCAGCCTGACAGCGGAAAGAGCACTGCCCACCTCCGCCACGCTGCTCGAGCCCGCGCACCTTCCCTTCGGGCCGCGCCACGGTTCCAACACGAGGGCTGTGGCAGAGGGAAGGAAAAGAACCCAACCCGACCACCTCTAAGTATCGCGAGATTTGATAGGCTACTTCTGCTTTTGCGCTCTGGAAGCGGAAGTGGGGTAGTGAGAGTTTCCTGCGCGTTTGGTTACCTTGGAGAGCTGCGTGGGTTGCTGCTGTACGAAGGTCCGAGGTCCCTGCAGGGCGTCCTGAGGAAGGGTGAGTACAGCCCTGGGTGGAGCACTCTTCCTTGCAGGGAGGCGGAGGGGATGGGGAGTCTGGTGATCGATCCCTCGCCGTCTGGATGCGGGGGAGCCCCGAGGTCGCTGCTCCTCAGGCCTGCCCTTTACGGCGCCTCTGGAAGGAGCCGCTTTGTCAGGGCCGTGTGTCAGATGTGCCGAGGTCTGGGGGACGCACTTTTCAGTCAGTTATCCTCATCTGTTCCCGGACTGGGGTGGAGGACCTCAGCCAAAGTTTGTGTGGTTTGATTCGTGGTGAGGGAATTGGTGAGGTTCAAGTACAGTGAAAGGTGTAGCCTTCCATCCAGCTGCAGCCACAAAGTTTGCGCGTGTTGGTGCCCACAGAGACCAGAAGGAGGCGTCGCATCCTCAGCAGCTAGAATTGCAGGCCGTTGTGAGCCGCCCTACATGGGTACTGAGCTCCTCTCTGTGGTCCTTTGGAAGAGTAATAAGGGCTCTTGACTACTGAGCTGTCTATCTCTTCAGCCCCTCCACCCCTTTTGAAATTTCCTTTAAGACCTGAAAGCCATATTTTCCTTAATTTTATTATCTATATTTTTGAAATTAATTACATTTTTCCTCCCTCCAATCCCTCTCACCAATCCCTCTTTCAAATTCATGGCCTCTTTAGTTGTTACATATATGTTTAATGTGTTTTTAATATGCACATGCACACCAGCCTGCGCAGTTTGTATAATGTTATTTATATGTATATGTTTTCAGAGCTGATCCTATATGGTATTGAATAACCAGTTTGTGTGTTCTGCTCTTGAGAAGACTATTTCTCTTGCTCTTAGCATTCCTGTAGTTCTTGGTTGAGGCCTCTTGAGTTTCCCCCTTCCGTGCTAGCTTGCCTGTTGTCGTCATCCCCGGCCCATATTTAATCAACTTAAACATTAAACAGTAAAATTGCCTCAAATCCTTGGGTTAAGTAAAGCTTGTATTAAGATTGTGTTTAAATTCCTTTCTCAAATGAAGATACTTGCTTATTGTGGTAGAGGTGTGGAGGACAGAGTCGGGCATTTTCTTTGCCTTATGAATTTACTACATGACTTAATTAGGAATGGGATGTCTTTTTAGTGGCATCTGTAGTGAATATGGAAGCATGGACACTTTTAATTAGTTAGGAGTTTTCGTTCTTTTGTTTTAAGACTGTCTTTCACTGTCCTGGAACTCACTGTGTAGACCAACTCAGAGATCCTTCTGCCTCTGCCTCTCAAGTGCTGGGATTAAAGGTGTGTGTTACTATACCCAGCTTACTTGCATTTACTTTAAACTCATTTGCTTTTTGGTACTTGACATTAGTTTGTCAGTACCAGGCACAGGGAAGTATAATTAAAGTAGATGGAAAGGTAGAAAATCCAGGTACTGTTTCTTGTATTAAAATAACATTCTAGTTTAATTTTGTTGGAATAAAGGTAATATTTAAATGCTATAAATGCTTACCTATTTTGAGGAAAGACAAAGCAATGATGAAACTGTTTTCCAATTAAACACTGTATCAAAAACTTTATCAGATGTTTAATTACTATTGGAAAAAAAATAATTTGAGGATACCAGGGGGAAGATTTGGTTTTAAGCTTTTAGCATGATGTTAAATCTGCCTCAAATCATAAAATAGGTTTTAATTATTTTTTTCTTTGTCAAGGCTAGTCTTGTACTTCTAAACTCCATTGATCCTCCTGCCTCTGCTCAGGAGTGTTAGGTCTACCAGGTTTAGAAGTTTGTTTTGGTCTTGGGGGGGGGGGCAGTGCTGTTGCTTTTGGTGTTCAAGACAAGGGTTTCTCTGTGTAACAGCCCTAGCAGTCCTGGAACTAGCTCTGTAGAGCAGGCTGGCCTCAATCAAGATCCTCCTGTTTCTGCCTCCTGAGTGCTGGGATTAAAGGTGTGCAAATGCACCGCCCTGCTGGTTTAGAGGTTTTGAGGCAATCAATAAAAACTCGAACTTTGGATTAGGAAAGCTATGGGATAGAAAAGCTGAGTAGTACTTGGTCGAGGAAGGCTGAGAAGTGGGGACTACTTATATAATTCTGCAGTTTCCAGGTCTTAGCTGAAGGTAGAAAACTCTACTCTGGTTCCTTGAGGATTAGAACTGCAAGTTAAGTCAAATCTTTTCCTGTAGGTAGAGGGTTGAAGAAATATTTTTTAAGATATCCAAATATTATATGGAAAACTCAGCTGTTAAGAGTTGTAACTGTAAGTCTTTATTCTGATCCGCCTGAGTCCCGCAGCCACGTGGGTGCTTTCCACCAGCTGCCCGAGTTATGCCCGCTGTGTTAGGGCCCCAAATAACACACAGAGATTTATATTAGTTTCAAATGCTGCTGGCCAATTGATTAGGATTTCTTATATGCTAGCTCAGTCTTAATTATCATAAATCTATATATTTTAAAAGACTTACCGAGGACAACTTCCATTGGTGTCCTCTTCCCGGGATTACATGGCAGCTCCATGGAGAAGAGAGCAGGAGGAAGAGCAAGAGAGCTATTTCCTGCTTATATTCTGAATCTGCCTGCTATGTCACTTCCTGTCTGGATATCTTTACTACATTTCCCAGAATACTCCTTGACCCCTAGTCCCACCTATCTTGCTTTCCTATTGGCCAGCAGTACTTTATTTATCAATCAATAAGACAAACATACACAGAAGGCCCTCTCCCATCATCTCCTCTTTTCTGTTTAAATAAAAAGGGTAACTTATCTTTTATAATAACTGAAGAAAACTAACTATAACTGTCTGTCTTCAACTCCATAAGACCACAGAAGGATAATATAAAAACTCTGGAATTGACAGACACATCTAGATACCTGGACAGTCACCCAAAGTTCCTCTGTAACATTGGGGCATCCATCTTCAGCCCATAGGCCACAGTGTGTCTGGCAGACTTCTCCCTTTCAACAGGAACCCTTCAGGACTGTTCATTTTGTTTTGTAAGTTCAGCAGTCACTTTCTTGTGGGTCCTGCATGTCCAGTTTATACAGCAACAAACAGTCCAGGCAAGAACAGTTTCTTGCCCAAATGGCTAATCTTGCCATGTTGAAGGCAAACTCCATGTTGAGTTTCTTCAAAGCCTATCTTCCTTTCTGACGTAATTGGTGTGCCAGGAGCAGTTATGTCTCACTGTCAAGAAAAACCCTAAACCATTTAAATGCTGAGAGTATAGCTACTGACTCAGTTACTCAAGCTTCTCAAAAATTCTAATTTCTCATCTTAGTTTATTCACAGTCATTTGCAGTAGTGCTTCATTTCCTACTACTCTAAAACAATCACCTGATATCTGAATCCAATTCTCTTTTTGAGTTCTTTCTACCATTGTCTGATTTGCCAATATCAACCACTCTTTATTCTCTTACCTTGTATGCCAATCTTTTCTTGTTGGTTTCTGTGTGCTTTTTCATATCTTTTCATTGACTTTGAGTACTCTTTGAATATTGATGCTCTTCCACATTCTCCCTAAGGAGTCTCATCCTCTTTTATAGCATTAACTACCAAAACCATTACTCATGTTTCCCTTATTCATCTTCAATTCTTCTCTTATTCTCAGTTAACTGAATTGACTCTTGGATGTATGGAACATAGCTCACTTTTTGTTTTTGGTTTTTTTGAGGCAGGGTTTCTCTGTGTAGCCCTGGCTTTCTTGGAATCTGTAGCCCAGGCTGGCCTCGAACTCAGAGATCGACTGCCTCTGCCTCCCGAGTGCTGGGATTAAAGGTGTGGGCTACTATCGCCTGGCTCCTGGCTCACTTTAAATTCAGTGTGTCTTTACCCATCTTTCTCATAGTTTTGGTGATACTATAATTTGTCTGATCATTTGGCAGGAAGCCTGAGGATCATCCCTTATTTCTCCTCCATGTCTAGTTGGTGACTTTTTCCTAGTCCCTGCCTCACATTAACTTTTCAGCATGTTATCTACATTACTACAGCACTCTGCTTTAGTTTCACTAGTCTCTACCCAGTTACAAAGAGTCCGTCAAAATACGAAATTGGATCTTTTTATCTTTGTTGAGATGGGATCTCACAAGTAGCCCTTGCTGGCTTGGAATCAATTATAGACCAGGTTGGCCTGTAGTTCCTCTAGCTCTGCTTCCTGTTACAGGTGTTTGTCACCACACATAAAGGCAGATTGGATCTTCAGGCTTCCCCTCTTAAGTCATCCATACTTCCCATTGTCCCCCAGAAAGAAGATAACAAAAGCATTTGCATTGGATACAACATTTTCCACAATTTGTTGCTTGATTACTTGATAAAATTAGTTTTATTTCTTGTTGTCTTCTGCTTCTCCTTTTATGTTCCCATTTTATTGTAGGTGTATGTATGCGTAGGTTGCATGTGGAAGCCAGATATCCACTCCAGGGTCATTCTTCAGGAGCTATCTACCTTCATTTCTGAGCTGGGTCTTTCACTGGAACCTGAAACGTGCCAGTTAGCTAAGGTGACTGGCCAGCAAGCCTATCTCCACTTCCCCAGCACTGGGATTGTAAGCCTGTTCCACTGGCCAGGCTTTTTATGTAGGTGCTGAAGAGCAAACTCTGGTCCACATTCTTTCATGACAAGCATGTTACCAATCGAACTATTCTCCCCTATATCTGTCTCTTCCTGACTGGGGTGTGGCTTATGATATATTGTTCATCTTAGTATTGCAGGCTCCAGTAGCACAATGTAGTCCAGAACTGTTACAATGTTAAGTTTAAAAATACATAGGGACTTTTGTTAATACTCTGTCCAAAATTGTTCACTTCTTGGTTTTTCATAAGCTAATAACTTAAGTGTTAATTTTTTAAAAATTCTTACAGATCTTAAAAATTGTACAGAAATTTCAAGATGAGTGATACTTCTGAAGTGACTCCAGATTTTGAAGAGATGTTTGCAAGCAGATTCACACAAGATGACAAGGAGTACCAGGAGTACTTGAAACGTCCTCCTGAATCCCCTCCAATTGTTGAGGAATGGAATAGCAGAGCTGGTGGTAACCAAAGAAATAGAGGCAACTGGTATGTGTTATTTCCAGAGGATAAACGCAGAGGATTGTCTGGGAGAAGATAGCTTTAGCATGCTTGCCCATAAAGCCAGCAAAAGTAGCAACCAGTGTTTTCAGTATGGTTCACCCACAGTCCTGGAACATAATAAGCATTCTAAATACTTGCTTTTATGTGCTCTGTTCAAGCCAGGTAGAGTGATGCAAGCCATACTTACAATACTTGGGAGGCTGAGGCAATAGGTTCACAAGTTCTAGGCCAGCCTGGACTGTCCAATGAGACCCTGTCTCAAACTAATATTTTCTTTACAAATAAACTTAATAAAACTGTAGTTTCTGTGCTTGATTTCTTAAAGAAGGTATTATTTTGATTAATTTAGAAATTTTCTAAAATGAAATGGAAAATTATGTAATAATTCGAAAAAATAAAGAAGTGACAGTGTTTTGTACATTTTAGTAGGTGTCAGTTTGACCACACCTGGACTTGTTACCTGCTTGTCCAATAGAAGCATCCAGTTGTGATGCTGGAAGAAGACTTAAATCTTAGGAACATGTGACTAGTGATGTGATGTGTATTACATTGAGAATTCAAATGCCCTGGGGTTGATTTCTTGTGTTTATTTTTTAAAGGGAAGTTAATATTTGTGTTTTCTTTTGGTAGGCTGCAAGATAACAGACAGTTTAGAGGTAGGGATAACAGACGAGGATGGCCAAGTGACAATCGAGCAAATCAGTGGCATGGACGGTCATGGGGTAACAATTATCCACAGCAGAGACAAGAGCCTTACTATCAACAACAGTACGGACAATATGGTCACAATCCGCGGCCTCCCTATGGTTACTACTAACAGAAATGTTGTGGCTTTTAACAAAAGACCATTCATTTTGATAACATGCTAAACCTTCCTTTGTCTTCTTGTAGTCATAGTTTTTCATTCTATTTTACAGAATGGGTTGTTAATTGTTTAGAATTTGAGACTTGGAAAAACAAACTGATCTTGTTAGAGATGTGATGATTGATGGCAATAAAGTGTGGATTATATTGTCTAGCTTTATCTTAAAAATACCGTTTGTTTTATGATTTAATAGTGTTTTGCGTTTGATGTGTTATCCCTTTTGGCCTCCAGGAGTTCTATATTTAAGACAAATAAAATGTTTAAATAGGAAGCGTATATAGAAGAGTAACATGCTCAGATGTCCTCACCTTGGACGTTTCAAAGAGTAAGGACAGTCAGTTTGTAAAAACACCTATGAGTATTTATAGTGTATTGTACACAGTAGCAGCAGTTGAAAGGTAAACAATTATTCCTTTTGACTTTGTTATGTGATTATTGTATTTTGTGGTTTATAAGTGTGAGTCAGCTCCAGAACCAATTTGGTCTCTTTATGTGGAAGGACTCATTCAGTGCAGCCTCCTGAAGCCGTGAGATTGAAGAACTCAACATTTTGTATACACCAAGATTTTTGCAAACTTACAACAGGGAAGAAACGGATGTGCACTATAAACACAATACTCATGTAAATACTGCTGCATTTAGACTATTTTGGTATTTCATGTGTTGGAATATTATTTTAAGGTGTGTTACATTTTTTTATGCTGTGGAACATTTGTTTAATGATGCAGAGATGTGTTGCATTCTTTTATATTGCATTTGTTTAACTCTGTGAAGCTGTGTTACTCTGCCTGTCTAAAACACCTGATTGGTCTAATGAAGAGCTGAATAGCCAATAGTAGGGCAGGAGAAAGGATAGGTGGGGCTGGCAGGCTGAGAGAATAAATAGGAGGAGAAATCTGGGAGGAGGCATCCATGGAGGAGTGAGAAAAGAAGGGACAGCCATCCAGCCAGCTACAGAGTAAGAGTGAAAGTATGATTACAGAAGTAAGAAAAGGAAAAGGCCCAGAGGCAAAGGTAGATGGGCTGATTTAAGTTAAAAGCTAGCAAGAAACAAACCAAGCTAAGGCTGGGCATTTGTAAGTGATAATATACAAGATGAGGAAAGGCAAGAAACAATGACGGATTTATCATCATTTCCTTACGTGTATTCATTTGTAAATTGCAATAGGAGATCAAATTATATTTAGGTAAACACTTCAAGTTTGGAAGAAGCTTATGTAAAAGCTGAGCTAGATTAGTGACACACATTTTGGAAACTGGCGCTTACTTTAAAATATGTTCATTATTGAACATAACAGATTAAATCCTATTGAGAACAGCTTGAAGAGTTTTCTGGCTTGCATTTTGCAGTGCTAGAAGGATATGGGGTATCTAGCATATAAATAGCCATTGCTTTGAGAATAGGTTTGGGTTCTTGAAGCCATTTGGGAAAGGCATCTGGAAAGATATCTGGCATTCTTAAGATGTTTAACAGAAGGGTGAAATTTCCTTTTGTATTTTGTATACCTCAAGGAAAATACAGGACCTATGGTAGAGTTAAGAGTAAGGAAATACCAGTTTTCTTTTTTATTGTTTTAAAAGTGGGATTTTTTTTTCTTTCTGTTACTTAGGTTGACCCAGAACTCCTAGGCTCAACCTTAGACCCATACCTTAGACCCCTGAGTACCTGGGGACTGCAGGTGTGCACCACCCTGCCTAACCAAAATGTCCAAGTCTTAAGAGTGCTAAAGGAGAAGGAAATGACCTTTCATCCTGGAGGCCACTGACAGCACTAATTTTGCACTATTCTTTATTAATAACATTTTCATGCTTTAAATTTTTTTCTTCCACTTGGTTAAATTTGTGTTCGTTGGTATTCAGTATACCTGAGGAATTTACAAGGACGACAGGTATCTGAGGTTCACGGCCCCAGGGCTTCTGTCACGGTTGACCCTAGTGCTTTGGGCTTGTGCCAAGGCCATAAATTATGAAAGGAGCATGTGGCAGAAACCTGGTCACCTCGTGGTGGTTTGAATAAGGGTAAGGGAAGTGAATGGGGGTAAGGGAAGAGGCTGGGGCTGGTTAGCTCCTTCCAAGAACTTCCCACTAGCCCCTACCTCTAAACCCCCCAACCACCACAGGCTGGGACAAAGCTTTTCACATATGGGCCTTAGAATCAAACAGATTTGGATTTGGGCTATTGACTTCTGGGTTGTTACTACAGATGGGACCTAGGGCCTCACACATACTAGGCAATTCTACCTACTCCAGCCCCATCTTTACTTTTTATTTTGAGACAGTTTCACTGAGTTGCCCAGGCTGATCTTGAACTTTCTTTTCTTTTTTAATTTTTCGAGACAGGTTTTCTCTGTAGCTTTGTAGACCAGGCTGGCCTCAAACTCACAGAGATCAGCCTGCCTCTGCCTCCTGAGTGTGCCACCACTACCTGGCTGACCTTGAACTTTCAATCATACTCGGGATACTGACTTTCAATTAGCTTTACTGTCTATAGTAAAAGAAAATATTGTCAATATTTAGATTAATACTTAAGGATTAAAATATGGCTATATATGATGTTCTATGATTATCAACAAGTTTTCCAAGAGACTGTTATATTATTAGAGAACAAATTAAAATCTAGATCCAATTAGTAGATAGGACCCCAAGGGAACCTTGAGAGCAAATATTTCCTCCTTTCTGTAAGTCTGGTTGATGCTGCTTTTGAGGAAAGTCAAATACAAAGTGTGGTCCTGGGCCAGGATGGCTACACAGTGCCCATCAGCAGGGCTGTGCATGTGAGGGTGTGTAGGGGTGTGTAGGGGGTAGTGTTTGAACAGTACAGAGGCCTTGGCATCAGAGAAACACTTAGAGGGGTTGTTAACCATACTGTTAGATTCACATTTTTGCAGAGTAGGTAGCATGGAGGAGTAGGTTAACACAAGGTAAGCTTCCAACAAACTTACCAGCAGGATGTGACTCCTTTTAGGATGATGTAAGGGCATACAAATAAAAAAGTTGGAATCTGTGGAGTGTGGCACATGTCTTTAATCTCATCACTAGGAGGCAGAGGAAGGAGGATCTCTTGACTTCAAGGCCAGCCTGGTCTACAGAGTGAGGTCCAGAACAGCCAGGGCTACAGAGAAAGTCTGTATCTTAAAAAGGGGGAATGGGGTGGAGGGTGGAATCTTACCAAATGACAACATAGAATTGCTGGAGGTTACTGTATTCAGACACAGAAAGACTAATACCACATCTTACTAGCAGAAACTAAAATTATGTTGGCCACATGAAAGTGTGGAGTGGCACAGAAGTCACCTGAAAAGAAGGGATGGGGGGATAGAGAGGGTTAGTAACGGATTCCAAAATAAAGCAAGTGGTGGGTAATATGCTTGCATAGAATCATTCTAAGACTCATACTTTCCAAAGTAACTAGAGGACTGTGTTCCTGACATACATACATACACACACACACACACACACACACACACACACACACACACACGATAGTGTGTGAGATGACAGAAATGTTAATTACCTAGATTTGGTTGTTATACTGTCCACGTGTATCAAATTATATTCCATAAAAAAGTACAAACATTATACCCATTACAAAGTAAACAAATATATAGCATGGAATATATACAAAGTAAACAAATATATAAGCAAATGTTAATTACCTAGATTTGGTTGTTATACTGTCCACGTGTATCAAATTATATTCCATAAAAAAGTACAAACATTATACCCATTACAAAGTAAACAAATATATAGCATGGAATATATACAAAGTAAACAAATATATAAGCACCCACAGAACACAGGTTCATGCCTCCTGAATTTGAAGGAAGGCCTTCCTGGGCTGGGTTAGGTTCAGCTCACAGTCTCTGTGAGTTCATATGTGCATCTGTCTTGTTTCTGGAAGATGCTGGTTACTTAGAGTCATCCACCACCTCTGGATCTTCTGCCTCCTCTCCTTGAGAGGAAAGGTTTGATGAAGACATCCCATTTAGGGCTTAGTGCTCCAAAGTCTCTCACTCAGCATGCAGATTGTCCAGTTGTGGGTCCTTTTGCTAATTACTATCTATTGTAAAAAGAAACTTCTGTGATGAGGGTTGAATGATGCTCTGCCCTATGGGTATAGCATACAAAGGACTTGCACAGGTTCAAACTAGACAACTAAATCCCAGCACTAAGAAAGGGAAGTGGGCACAGTCCCACCCCTAACCAAGAAGCTATGTGCAATTGTTACCTGCTGAGAAAGGGAGTATCAGTTTTCTCCAATTGAGTGTCACTGGGTCTATCAGCTACGTTTCAGGGTAGGTAGGCCCCATGCCCAGGAGTAGTTGGCCAAAACAAAACAGACTTCATGTTTTTTTATGCATTTTTTGTTTTGGAATTTTTTTCTTGTCTTACTGATTTTCCTTTTTTAAATTTTGTTTTTGGTTGTTTTTCCTGTGGGTTTTGTTTGTTTTAATAGAGAACATGAAGTTGGGTAGGTAGGGAGTTGGGGAGGATTTTGGAGGAGTTGGGGAGGGGAAAGAATATCAAAATGTATAAACTTTAAAAAATATGTAAAAAACTGGCCTGGTGGTGGTGGCACACACTTTTAATCCCAGCACTTGGGAGGCAGAGGCAGGTAGAGGCCAGTCTGGTCTACACAGTGAGTTTCAAGGCAGCCAGGACTGTCACACAGAGAAACTGTCGTGAAAACCAAGACAAAAAGTAGTTTGGCTTTGGAAGAGTGCCTGCCCAGCACTCAGAGTCCTGAGTTTAATCTCTGTAAGAAGGGAAGGTCAGAATCACAAGCTCATTTTCAACTACACTGTGTTTGAGGCCAGTCTGGCTGCATGAGCCCTCGTCTCAAAAAATTAAAGTTCCAAAAACAAAAAGGAGTTCAGCTCACAAATACCCCACTGGCTTCTTCATGGGCTGCCGAGCTAATTTAGTTGGTGTTTCATTCTGTCCCTAAGGGCACAAAGAACCCTACGTATTAATTACCAGTTAAATTTTCTCTGGACTTCAGTAGCATCTCCTGAGACCACTTCAGGGAAGGGTGTGATTATGATCTCATGGTTTTTTTCCACTGCCAGTGCCATTAACTCCCTGAAGTCTCCAGCCTTTGTCTGAATGAGGTAAACAAAGCTGTTCTCATTGCTAAAGCCAGAGAGCTTTGTTGTTTTGTGTTCTTTTTCCTCTTAAATTTAATTGTGTACATTCTATGTATATGCAAAATAAATGTAAAAAGTGAGATGGTATAAAAATTAGTAGTCTTCACCCAAAAATTCTATATTTTTACCTGTTTTACCATGTTCAAACAGATTTATAGAAGTTATATATTTCTTTCCTATCAAAGTGAGATCACACACACACACACACACACACACACACACACACCTACCTTTTCATATACTTAACAGAGTACATTCCAGGTTAATAACAGAATCAGAACTAATGATTTAATTTTAATAATATAGTATGAATTTGCCATCACTTAGATGATCATTCTCTTGGTAGATACTTGGGGATTCTCTCCATTTTCGAATACTAACAGTGCCACATTACCTTTGTACATATATTCTTTGGTGGTTTTATTTTGTCTTCTGTGGATAGTGCTCTTAAAAGGGAAGTCATCAGGTTAAAGGATACCA